GATCAAGGGGTATAATGAGGGAAATCTCTGCAGTATCTCTGCAACTTTTCTGTAAATGTAAAATTATTCCCAAATTAGTTTATTTAAAAGTTCTAACCCTGTGCTTGCATCTCAGCCGCAGCGTCATTGTTGGTGCAGGTTACATTGCTGTGGAGATAGCAGGGATCCTCTCAGCCCTGGGTTCTAAGACATCACTCATGATACGGCATGATAAGGTAAATTCCACCTTTTCCTTTTCCCTTTTCTTGATGTTAATTTAAAAAATGAAGAATTTTTTCTTATGTTGTCATTAAATACTAGGGTGCAAAACAGGTGGGGGTCAGTTGGTTGGTTTCACATGGTGCTGTATCCAAGTTACCTGAATTTGGCCAATATCCCTCCCAGTTGCTGGTTGATGATGATTTTGAGTTGGTCAAATTGGCTGGTAATTTCATCACTAAGTGGTAGATATGAGATGCCCTCATAGGGAGATGTGGGGGCCTAAACATAACTATTAGCTAAGTTAAACACACTGTTAGGTTAATTTATTTTTTTAATTAATTAGAGTCTCACTCTGTTGCCCAGGCTGGAGTGCAGTGACACCATCTCAGCTCACTGCAACCTCTGCCTCCTATGCTCAAGTGATTCTCATGCCTCGGCCTCCCGAGTAGCTGAGATTACAGGTGTCCACCACCACGCCCGGCTAATTTTTGTATTTTTAGTAGAGACGGGGTTTCACTGTGTTCACCAGGATGGTCTCAATTTCCTGACCTGCTCGCCTCGGCCTCCTAAAGTGCTGGGATTACAGGCGTGAGCCATTGAGCCCTGCCAGGTTTATTTATTAATTTCTGGAAATCAATTTTATATGATCAAGTAATGTTAGATTGGTTGCCACTCATTCCAAACAATTTACTAAATTCTTTGCATTAAAGCAGGGGTGTCCAATCTTTTGGCTTCCCTGAGCCACACTGGAAGAAGTAGAATTGTCTTGGGCTACATATAAAATATACTGACACAAATAATAGCTGATGAGCTAATAATAAAATAAATTGCAAGCTGGGCACAGTGGCTCATGCCTCTACTTTCCAGCACTTTGGGAGGCCGAGGCAGGCGGATCACTTGAGGTCAGTAGTTGGAGGTCACCAGTTTGGCCAACGTGGTGAAACCCTATCTCTACTAAAAATCCAAAAATTATCCAGGCATGATGGCAGGTAACTATAATGAGTGAGCCGAGATCGTGCCACTGCACTCCAACCTGAGCAACAGAGCAAGACTCTGTCTCAAAAAAAAAAAAAACTGCAAAAAAAATCTCATAGCAGTTTAAGAAAGTGTACAGATTTGTGTTGGGCCACATTCAAAGTCATCTTGGTCCGCACTCTGGCCTGCAGGCTGCTGCAGATTGAATGGACTTACATTAAAGGCAATCTTGTAGATCATACACTTGAACTTCTTTTTTTTTTTTTTTTTTAGAGACAGAGTCTTGCTCTGTCACCCAGGCTGCAGTACAGTGGCGTGATCATAGCTCACTGCAGGCTTCTGAGCTTATAGGATGTTCCTGCCTCAGCCTTCCAAGAAGCTGAGGCTTCAGGTGTGGGCCACCATGCCCTGACTAATTTTTTTTTTTTTTTTTTGAGACAGGGTCTCACTGTGTTGCCCAGGCTGGAGTGCGGTGGCGCATCATGGCTCATTGCAGCCTCAGCCTTCTGGGCTCAAGCGATCTTCCCACCCCAGCCTCCCAAATAGCTAGGACTACAGGAGCATGCCACCACACCCAGCAAGGTTTTGCCATGTTGCCCAGACTGGTCTCAGACCCCTGAGCTCAAGTGATCTGCCCACCTCGGCCTCCCAAAGTGCTTGGAATTACAGGCATGTGCCATCTGACTAATTTTTATCTATTTTTAGAGATGAGATCTTACTATGTTGCCCAGGCTGGTCTCGAACTCCTGGCCTCAAGCTATCCTCCTGCCTCAGGTTCCCAAGTAGCAGGGAGGAGTTCAAGACCAACCTGGGCAGCATAGTGAGACCCCATCTCTACTACAAAAAATTAAAAAATTAGCAAGGCGTAGTGGTATACGACTGTAGTTCCAGCTACTTGGGAGGCTGAGGTAGGAGAATCATTTGAATCCAGGAGGTCAAGGCTGCAGTGAGCAAAGATGATTGCACTCTAGCCTGGGCAGCTGACTGTTCCTAACAAATTTGTGACTTAGGTAAGCCACATAATGCCTTTGGGACCTAGTTCTGCAGGGACAGAATTTATCAGATCCCTAACTACCAAGATGCTATGATTCTAATTCTTTTTTCTTTTTTTTTTTTTGAGATGGCGTCTCGCTCTATTGCCCAGGCTGGAGTGCAATGATGCCATCTCAGCTCACTGTGAGCTCCGCCTCCTGGGTTCACACCATTCTCCTGCCTTAGCCTACTGAGTAGCTGGGACTACAGGCGCCCGCCAGCACGCCTGGCTAATTTGTTGTATTTTTAGTAGAGATGGGGTTTCACCATGTTAGCCAAGATGGTCTTTCAAGTTCAAGACCAGTAAAAATGCTGGACTGATGGTGGAGGCTACCATCATAACCATCTTAGGACCTTCAGTATATTTTCTCCACTCTCCCAACTCAAGTCTTACCTCCCTTCATTCCACTTAAGAATATACAGGGATCCCGGGCAGAATGGCTCACACCTGTAATCCCAGCACTTGCAAGGCCAAGGCAGGATGCTCACCTTGTGATCTGCCCATCTCAGCCTCCCAAAGTGCTGGGATTACAGGTGTAAGTCACGGCACCTGGCCTGATTCTAATTCTTATGTGAGCAGATGGAGGGAGACAGGGATTCTGAGAATCCTAGGCAGTATGTACTTCAAGGAACTTTCTCTGTGACTTTGAAACTGATTATATAATTAGTTCCACGAGGTTTAGGTCCTGAAAAATTTTTTCACAGGTAAGTATTGGGGAAAGGCAGAGGAGTTCCTGGCTTGAATTTATATGTAAATACGTAAATAAACTGCAGCAGTCTGTCAATAAGAGGGGGCAATTCCTGCATCTGTCAAATTGGCTACTTTGCAGAGAGCCACATCCGACTTGGGCTTCCTGCCGTCTCCCATCCCGAATGCACCAAGTTCATTCTCCTTTTTCCTGTCCCAGTGTTAACTCCATTTTAGAGCTACTCTGGCCGGGCATGGGGGCTCATGCCTATAATCCCAGCACTTTGGGAAGCCGAGGTGTGCGTATCACCTGAGGTCAGGAGTTTGAGGTCAACCTGCTCAACATGGTGAAACCCTGTCTCTACCAAAAATATACAAAAATTAGCCAGGCATGATGTCAGGTGCTTGTAATCCCTTCTCCTCGGAAGGATGAAGCAGGAGAATTGCTTGAACCCGGGAGGTGGAGGTTGCAGTGAGCTGAGATGGTACCCCTGCACTCTAGTCTGGGTGGCAGAGCAAGACTCCCTCTCCAAAAAAAAAAAAAAAGAAGAAGAAAGAAAAAGAAAAGGAAAAGAACTACTCTGTGAAGAACTCATGACCTCCCACCTGAACTCCATATGTGGAGGATCGTAGATATATCTTCAAGGACAACCTGTTGAGATTTATGGCTAGACAAGATTTTACTAGTGAACCTTCCCTTCAATCATATCAGAGAAAGCAGACCTTGAGATACGAAAAGTGGAAAGAGAATTTCTGTTCCCTGGACTTAAGGAAAAGAGAAGCAAGCTTTGCGAGAAGACAGTGGACAATGACTGTCCATTTAACTGTAAGACAGGAGTTGGTGAAGTCGTATGTGTTGCAGATGGTGATGGTGACGTAGGAAAGTAGGGAATTTATTAATACTCCATTCCCAATATTGACATAAGTAAGGAGGAAATAATTAGGGGAGAGATATGCTGAAGTTTCCCTGCTAAGTCTGTAGGTGTCTCTTTGCTCAAGGTTTCTTCCTCTCCCATTACCCATCCCTATGTTGATGTGCAGGTACTTAGAAGCTTTGATTCAATGATCAGCACCAACTGCACGGAGGAGCTGGAGAACGCTGGCGTGGAGGTGCTGAAGTTCTCCCAGGTACGATGCTGAGCCCAGGCACGCACATGGTCCCCAGTCGATCACACTTTCTGCCTGTGGCTTCGCCCAGTTAGTTTAAAACACAAACACTGTCTACCCCAGTCCGTATATTCCCCCTCTAGAGTACTCCCGATCATTTCCTTCCTCCTAAGAAGCTGTATTTTGGCCGGGCACGGTGGCTCATGCTTGTAATCCCAGCATTTTGGGAGGCTGAGGTGGGCGGATCACTTGAAGTCAGGACTTCAAGACCAGCCTGGCCAACATGGTGAAACCCTGTCTCTACTAAAAATACAAAAATTAGCCGGGCATGGTGTTGTGCACCTGTAATCGCAGCTACTCTGGAGGCTGAGGCAGAAGAATTGCTTGAACCCGGAAGGCACAGGTTGCAGTGAGCCGAGATTGTGCCACTGCACTGCAGCCTGGGCGACAACAGTGAGACTCCGTCTCAAAAAAACAAAAAACAAAAAAAACAGAAAAACAAAAAAAACCCAGCTGGGTGCGTCGGCTCACACCTGTAATCCCAGCACTTTGGGAGGCCGAGGCGGGCGGATCACCTGAAGTCAGGAGTTGAAGACCAGCCTGACCAACGTGGAGAAACCCCATCTCTACTAAAACTACGAAATTAGTCGGGTGTGGTGGCGCATGCCTGTAATCCCAGCTACTCAGGAGGCTGAGACAGGAGCATCACTTGAACACAGTAGGTGGAGGTTGCGGTGAGCAGAGATTGCCCCGTTGCACTCCAGCCTGGGCAACAAGAGCGAGACTCCATCTCAAAAGAAGAAAAAAAAAAAGCTGTATTTTACATTACAGCATTGAAGTCAAGGGTAAAATATTAGAAACCTGGCAATTGAATTTAGATGAACTTTGATTTTTTTTTTTTTTTTTCTTGTTGAGGCAGTGTCTCGCTTTGTCACCCAGGCTGGAGTGCAGTGGTGCAATCTCAGCTCACTGCATCCTCAGCCTCCTAGACTCAAGCAATCCTTCCATCTCTGCCCCCACCAAGTAGCTGGGACTACAGGCACATGCCACCACACCTGGCTAATTTTTTTGTATTTTTTGTAGAGATAGGGTTTTGCCATGTTGGCCAGTCTGGGCTTGAACTCCTGAGCGGAAGCGATCTGCCCACCTTGGCCTCCCAAAGTGTTAGGATTACAGGCGTGACTCACCACACCCAGCCTCTGATTTTTTAAATTTGGATTTTAAAACTGATTTTTGTGCTCAGTTGCCTTATTATACATCCTTAATTTTTTTAGATTTATACTTATTTTTTAGGAAATAATACGGAGTCTAATTTTTGTCTTTTTTTTTTTTTGAGATAGAATTTCGCTCTGTTGCCCAGGCTGGAGTGCAGTGGTGCCATCTCGGCTCACTGCAACCTCTGCCTCCTAGGCTCAAGGGGTTCTCCTGCCTCAGCCTCCTGAGTAGCTGGGATTGCGGTCATGCACCACCATGCCTGGCTAATTTTTGCATTTTTAGTAGAGACGGGGTTTCGCCATTTTGGCCAGGCTGGTCTGCAACTCCTGACCTCAAGTGATCCGCTCATCTCAGCCTCCCAAGGAGCACAGGTGTGAGCCGCTGTGCCCAGCCTATCTTTTTTTGTTTTTTGTTTTGTTTTTTTTTTGTTTTTGAGACAGGATCTCGCTCTGTCACCCAGGCTGGAGTGCAGTGGCACAGTCACAGCTCACTGCAACCTCCACCTCCCAGGCTTAAGTGATTCTCCTGCCTCAGCTGGGAATACAGGCACTGCCACCATGCCCAGCTAATTTTTGTATTTTGTTTTAGTAGAGATGGGGTTCCACCATGTTAGCAGGCTGGTCTTGAACTCCTGGCCTCAAGCGATCTGCCCACCTCAGCCTCCCAAAGTGCTAGGATTACAGGCATGAACCACCGTGCCCGGTCTCTATCTTTCATTTTTTAAATTATTTTTCTTGACACAAGGTCTTGCTGTGTTGCCCAGGCTGTAGTGCAGTTCCACGATCACTGCTCACTGCAGTCTCCAACTCCTGGGCTCAAACGATCTTCCCACCTAGCTTCCTGAGCAGCCGGGACTACAGGTGCATGCCACCATGGCTGGCTAATTAAAAAAAAAAAAAAATTGTAGAGATGGAGTCTCGCTATGTTGCCCAGGCTGTTCTCAAACTCCTGAGCTCAAGTAATCCCCTAGCCTTGGCCTCCCAAAGTGTTGGGATTACAGGTGTGAGCCACCATGCCCAGCCTAGAATCTAATTTTAAATCATACCCTTTGAATTTTGTAGATAGAATTACAAAGTGCTTTATTCCTCAAGCAATCACTTGAATTTCAGGCAGAATTTTCCTAGAGAATTAGCCTTTTAAAAATGATCTTCCCTTCCCCCACACAGCCTCACCTTTTCAGTATAGACCACATCAAATAAAATTGTGAATGTAAAAATGCTGGGCTGGTGGTGGAGACTACCATCATAACCATCTTAGGACCTTCAGTAGACTATTTATTTTCTCCACTCTCCCAGCCCAAGTCTTACCTCCCTTCATTCCACTTAAGAATATATAGGGATCCCAGGCACAGTGGCTCACGTCAGTAATCCCAGCACTTGCAAGGCCAAGGCAGGAGGAGAATCAGTTGAGGCCATGAGTTAGAGACCAGCCTGGGCAACATAACAAGACGCCATCTCTATGAAAAATTTAAAAATTAGCCAGATGAGGTAGCACGTGCCTGTTGTCCCAGCTACCCAGGAGGCTGAAGTGGGAGGAGAGCCTGAGCCCAGGAGGCTGATCTTGCCATTGCACTCCAGCCTGGGCAACAGAGCAAGCCCCTGTCTCTTAAAGAAAAATAAATAAATACATAAATATATGTTTTATTTACATATATATTTATTTATATTTTATTTATATATAAATGCGTATTTATATATTTATATTTTATTTATATATTTATATTTTATTTATATATACATATTTATATATTTATATTTTATTTATATATGTATTTATATATTTATATTTTACTTATATATAAATATGTATTTATATATTTATATTATATATATAAATATGTATTTATATATTTATGTTTTAATATAAATATATGTATATTTTATTTATAAGTATATATTTTTACATATACATATGTGCATATTTATTTTATATATATACACATATATATATATCCAGGGAGAGGCACTAATTGTGCAGTTTGGAAAAGTTTCCTAGTGATGCTGCAATGGCCTGCTTTCGAAGCACTGTGCTTAGGTGTACCACTTAAAATGTTATTACAGGGCCGGGCACGGTGGCTCATGCCTGTAATCCTAGCACTTTGGGAGGCTGAGGTGGGTGGATCATGAGGTCAGGAGATCGAGACCATCCTGGCTAACACAGTGAAACCCTGTCTCTACTAAAAACACAGAAAATTAGCCGGGCATGGTGGCGGGCACCTGTAGTCCCAGCTACTCGGGAGGCTGAGGCAGGAGAATGGCGCAAAACTGGTAGGCAGAGCTTGCAGTGAGCTGAGACCGCGCCACTGCACTCCAGCCTGGGCAACACAGCGAGACTTCCAAAAAAAAAAAGTTATTACAGTTTTCCAGCAGTACACTTTAAAACACTTGTTTTTAAAGTGAGGCATTACAATGGTGTCATGAGCTGACACTCCCAACCTCTGACTAGAAGATTTGGATCAACCCAGGGAACAGGCTTGATTTAAGGGAGTTCTAGTGTTGGTGGTCTTTGCGTAAAAGTGTATGTCTATGTTCGTTTGTGGGATTCAGTGGGAATTTTCTTTAATGCTAAAAATTCTAGTTTCCTCAGTATTTGCTTTCCTTCTTCCCCTGTCCTCCCCCAGCCTCCACACACGTGTAACACATTTTATTTGCCAATAGGTCAAGGAGGTTAAAAAGACTTCATCAGGCTTGGAAGTCAGCATGGTTACTGCAGTTCCTGGTAGCCTACCCGTCATGACCATGATTCCAGATGTTGACTGCCTGCTCTGGGCCATTGGGCGGGACCCAAATTCCAAGGGTCTGAGTTTAGACAAACTGGTAAGCTGGCTTGGTCTACCCAAAACATTCGTGAATCTACTAGGAGTCCTGTGGTTTTAT